CAGGGGATTTAGCTCCAATGGCCTCAGCAGCCAATGGCTCAACAATGCCCCATTTATTGGTTTCCTTCTCTCTTTTTCCCTGAGTTCCTCCTGATGTTTCTTGGGATCACGTGCCAAATAAACCACTTAGCCTTGAATTCTTTCCTCTGGAGGAACCCAGAACAAGAAGATCAAAACCAGGAGGCCGGACACTCTGAGGCATGCCTGTAATCCCAGTACTTTGGGAGGTGAGGCTGAGGTCAGGAACCCCGCCTACACCAAAAATACAAAAATTAGCCAGGTGTGATGACAGGTGCCTGTAATCCCAACCACTCTGGAGGCCGAGGCAGGAGAATCGCTTAAACGCGGAAGTGGAAGGTTGCAGTGAGCTGAGATCACGCCACTGCACTCCAGCCTGGGTGACAGAGCAAGCCTCCGTCTCATAAATGAATGAATGAATGAATGAATGAATGAATGAATGAATGAATGATCAAGACCAGGAGATGGGCAAGCTGTTTAGTAAGACCGGACCATCATTTTCAAGCAAGAAAATTGTGAGCAATGAAACTGCAGAAATAACAGGGGCCAGGGGACAAAGGTCAACAGGATCACACTAAGGGTCCTGATCTAATCCTCAGAAGAATGGGGCATATTTGATGGTTATATTAGGGAAGGACAGGACCAGATTTTTTCTGCAATTAAAAAAAAAATTGAGATAAAACTCATCATTTTAAAGTGTACAGCTCAGGGGGTTCTAGTGAATTCACAATGTTGTGCAACCATCACCTAATTCCAGAACATTCCATCACTCCAAAAAGACATCCCCCTTATGCATTAGCCGTACCTCTTCTCCCCTTACCCCCAGCCCCTGGCAGGCACCCATCTATTTTCCTATGGATTTGCCTGTTCTGGATTCCATATAGATCAGCGGTCCCCAAACTTTTTGGCACCAGGGACTGGTTTTTTGGAAGGTAATTTTTCCATGGACAGTGGGGTTGGGGGGGTCAATTCTCATAAGGAGCACACAACCTAGATCCCTCACATGCGTGTTCACAACGGGGTTCACGCTCACAGTAGGGTTTGCACTCCTATGAGCATCTAATGCCACCGATCTGAGAGGAGGCAGAACTCAGGCGGTAATGCTGTGCGGCCCGGTTCCTAACAGGCTACAGACTGATACTGGTCCACGGCTCGAGGGTTGGGGACCCCTGATATAAATGGAATAGGATCTTGGAACTTCGAAGGTTCTCTCTGTCCGTGGTGTGGACTGGGAAATTCCCTGAGAGAGGCAGGAAGAGCAGAGAGAGGACCCGGGGATTCCACAGGGATGGAGAGAAATGGATGAACAAAGATAAATGGAAGACACAGAACTGATGGGCCTCTATTTGATTAAATATGGGGGGATGTGGAGTGGAACACTGAAAAATGACAGCCAAGGCCAGCGCAGTGGCTCACGCCTGTAATCCCAGCATGAGGAGAGGCCAAGGCGGGTGTATCACTTGAGGTCAGGAGTTTGAGACTAGCCTGGCCAACATGACGAAACCCCGTCTCTACTAAAAATACAAAAATTAGCTGGGCGTGGTGGCGGGCACCTGTAATCCCAACTACTTGGGAGGCTGAGGCAGAAGAATCGCTTGAACCCAAGAGGTGGAGATTGCAGTGAGCCGAGATTGCACCACTGCACTCCAGCCTGGGTGACAAGAGTGAAACTCCGTCTCAAAAAAAAAAAAAAAAAAAAAAAGACAGTCAAGTCTCTTGCCTTGGGCACCTACACAATCCTGGCGCCAGACACAGGCACCCAGGGCACAGGAGAGGGGGCAGGCCTGAGACAGAGCAGGGAGAGAGGCATCTGAGAATATAATTAAAACCCTAGATAGGACAGGAAAATTTATACACATTCACACACCAGCCACTGTGTTCTAGGCGGATTAAACCACTTAATCATTGCAGCAACCCTGTGTGGGAGGTGCCAGGCTACATTCATCAGACAGAAAAGAACACTGAGGCAGGAAATGCTTAAGTTGCCAAAGAGGTCTCAGAACACACGTGTGCTGGCACAGCCAGTTACAAAGCCAGAACCTTTGCATGTGTTCCCGGCATGGATGCGTCAACCCAGGCACAGGTTTTAGCTAGCTGCCTGCCCATGGATGTTACCAACTGATTAGGCTCAACCCAGGCCTGGATGGAGGGTGAGGAGGTCCGTTCTCTGCAGGCTGCCTGGCCTTGGCAAGTCACTCAGTTTCCCCTGTCAGTAGGGAGGCTTGATGTAGAGGAGTGGTTCTCACCCTGGGAATCACCAGAGGGCTTGTGAACACACAGCTTGCTGAGCTCCACCCCCAGAGTGTCTGATGCCATGGGTCTGGGTGGGGCCCAAGGATGTTTATTTCTACCCAGTGCCCAGGTGGTGCTTACGCTGCAGGTCCGGGGACACACCTTTGAGAACCGCTGCTGATCTTTGGGTTTCATTCAGCCTCTCATGTTCTAGAATTCGTGTTTTCTAACATTTCCAACGATTCATGCAGTCATTAAACATGAGGTGTAAAGGGTACAAAATATTCATAACATTCCAGGGCAGGAAAAGGTAGGTATCATAGGTGCATTTTTTTTTTTTTTTTTTTTTGAGACAGAGTCTCACTCTCTCACCCAGGCTGGAGTGCAGTGGCGTGATCTTGGCTCACTGCAACCTCCGCCTCCTGGGTTCAAGCGATTCTCATGCCCAGTCTCCTGAGGAGCTGGGTTTATAGATATGCACCACCATGCCTGGCTAATTTTTGTGCTTTTATTTAAAACAAAATTTCAAATAAAATACATTGAAAGTAATGGCAAAAACCGTGATTATTTTTGCGTCAACCAAATAGTAGAGACAGGGTTTCACCAGCTGGGGTGCCCGTTATTTATTTATTTATTTTGAGACAGGGTCTCACTCTGTTGCCAAGACCCTAGTGCTGTGGCACTATCTCAGCTCACTGCAACCTCTGCCTCTGGGGTTCAAGCAATTCTCCTGCCTCAGCCTCCTGAGTAGCTGAGACTACAGGTGCATGCCAGCATGCCTGGCTAATTTGTGTATTTTTAGTAGAGAGGGGTTTCGCCATATTAGCCAGGCTGGTCTCAAACTCCTGGTTTCAAGTGATCCACCCTCCTTGGCCTCCCAAAGTACTGGGACTACAGGCATGAGCCACTGCGCCTGGCCTTGGGTGTCCTTTTAAAAAATAAAAAATGCACAGATGAAGAGTCAGATTGAGAAAAATAAATTTAACAGTATACATTTGCTTTTTCAAAAACTATTTACAAATATAGTAAAGTTATCTATCGATTCATCTACCTATGTTTTAAAAAGTTAAAGGAAATATACCCAAATATTAATAGTGTTTAAGAGATTTGGAAATACAGCTGATTTTATTTCCTTCCATGTTTTCAATTGCACTCCTAATTAATTTATATATCATATACATACAGCTATATATGTATATACAGATTGATAGCTATAGATTGTGCCTTACCTTTGTAACCAGGAAAAAATATACATAAAAGCTATTTTTTTTTCTTTCAAAAGACTCCCAAGGCAATTGCTCAGTTAAAAAGCTTCAATCTGATGTTCTGACAAAAATCACTCACAGTTGTCCTCTCCTTATGAACAACTGAAGTCCATCTAGCAGATGAAAATGTCTGTGGGCCTGAGCTGACTCAGCTGTTCTTAAAACTGAGCGAGTACCACTCTGGGGACCCGGGAGTCCAGAACCAGGAACTGCCCTTTAGAGACCAAACAAGATGGTTCGAGGAAAGTGGCAACCCAAAAGAGGAGGAAAAAGCAAGAGATATAAAAGATGAAGTGAGCCACAGGGCCTCTAAAGGATAGAAAGTCCTACTCCTATAGGCGCTACAGGTGCTGACACCTGTGAGTTCTGACAGAAAATCACATCAGACTGCAATCCCCTGCAAGTGTGCGTGGTGGATGTGCACGTGTGGGAGCTCACGCACGCCCCCTAAGCATTTTGAAACTAATTTAGAATGCATACATTTGCACAAATACATCATACATCTGAGACTGGCAGCAGTTTGCTGATTAATCCCATTGTATGCGTACCCACTGGGGCATTCCAACGCTTTTTTCCTGGGAACAGAGAGACTGACTCTCCTCCCTTTGGAAACGGAGTTGTAATGTGTAAAAGCACACCATTTTCACAGAAAATGTGTCCCCTCTCTGTACTGTTCTCTGGACTTTCCAAAAGTAATTTACAATTAGTATTACTTATATAATCAGGAAAAAAAGTGTCCATCTAAACAGAAGGAAGAAGCCAGGTGCAGTGGCTCACCCCTGTAATCCTAGCACTTTCGGAGGCGGAGGGAGCGGATCACTTGAGGCTAGAAGCCAACATGCTGAAACCCCGTCGCTACTAAAAATACACAGATTAGCCGGGCTTGGTGGTGGGCACTTGTGATCTCAGCTACTCGGGAGGCTGAGGTGGGAGGATGGTTTGAACCCGGGAGGCAGAGGTTGCAGTGGGCCGAGACCACCCCACTGGACTCCACCCTGGGCGACAGAGCGAGACTCCGCCTCAAAAAAAAATAAACAAAATAAAATAAACAGAAGAAAGAGCCCAGTGTTTATCAGAATGCTCACCTGTCACTTTGGCCCTCACGGGCTCCAGCTGTTCTTTTCTATTCCTGCCAAATATTATATCCATCATTCAGGGCGCCGAGGGAGACTGATTTTAACAGCAAACAGATGCTCCTCTGTGTTCAAAGGAGCTGCTGCTTCCTCCTCCTGCGTTTCCTTCCTGCTCTCCTGCTCCTTCCCTTCTTCACATCTCTGTCTCTCCTGATGCCGTTTCTGCCTTTGCTTTTTCCTTTTTGGCTGGCGGTGACTTCTCCCTCTCCGAGAGCCCAGGATCTCTTTACATTCACAGGAGAAGCTGCGCTGGCGTTATTTATAAGATGTTTGGTTAAAGGTTAATTTCCAAGCCATGTGTCATAGCTAATCTTTAATCCTCTTATTGCACCCTCAGCTTTCCCTCTCCAGTTTCACTTTTGGCTTAACCAAAAAAAAATCTTGCTTTGGGCTAGGTTCTAAAAAGCAGAGAGAATTCCGTGCCTCCTGTTATGTTGCCCGACGTAATCCAAGAGCTGGAGATGTTTATGATCAGAACAAGAAGAGAGGCAGTCGGGGCCATCAGAGATGCTGGGCATTAGGAAAGCCGTGAGGTGAGCTCTGTGATCATGCGAATGTCTGGTGTACAGCAGGGAACCCCTTCAGCAGAAACGGGTAAGGTTTTATGTTTTGTTTTGTTTTTAGTAAAGACCCTGATGCTCCCCTCTAATAATCATAAGGAGAGACTTAATTCATTATTTTCTTTTTGGAAGAAGGAGACATAAAATGTTTCATGTACCCATTTAAAAAATAATGAACGGAAACCAAGACTTTTCTCAGAAACTATAAAGAATAGTAAAAAAGATGGGCCAGGAGCGGTGGCTCATGCCTGTAATCCCAGCACTTTGGGAGGCTATGGTGGGTGGATCACTTGAGGTCAGGAGTTCGAGACCAGCCTGGCCAACATGGCGAAATCCTGTCTCTACTAAAAATACAAAAATTATCCTGGCATGGTGGTGGACGCCTGCAATCCCAGATATTCAGGAGGCTGAGGCAGGAGAATCTCTTGAACCCATGAGGCAGACATTGCAGTAGGCTGAGATGGCACCACTGCACTCCAGCCGGGCCACACAGTGAGACTCTGTCTCAAAAAATAAATAAGTAAACAGAATAGTAAAAAAGAAACTTCATTTCAACTTCCTGGTCTATCAAGAGGGCAAAACGACGCCTGAATTTGATCTGAGCTTCCCTATTATTCGTGTATCTTGGCGTGTTGCCATTGCCTGAAATTCATATTCAGCTTGCTATGTGCACTGATTGAAGTTAATGAACTCATCTTAACGTATTTTGCTTAAAGAAAGAACCAGTCATTTGCTCTGTGGGTAGAGTAAGAAAAGGCAGTGGCATTGGCCTTTATGCAACCCAGCTGAGAATAATGATGTCTGGTCTGGGCTGAGACCACATGCCAGCACCTTGGGCCATTCATTCCGGACAGCTGTGTGTTCTGGCTGTGCTTCTGCCCTGGCACACATTGGAATCACCTGGTTGGAGGCACGAACTGTACCGGTGCTGGGCCTTACTCCAGACCCACTGACGCACAGTCTCTGAAAGTGGCTCTCAGCCATCAGTTTTTTTATATTGGCTGGGCATAGTGACTCACACCTGTAATCCTAGCACTTTCAGAGGCCAAGGTGGGAGGATCACTTGAGCCCAGGAATTTAAGACCAGCCTAGGCAACATAATGAGGCTCTGTCTCTACCAAAAAAAAAAAAAAAAAAAAAAAAAAAAAATTAGCTGGGCATGGTGGTGCACGCCTGTAGTCCCAACTACTTGGGAGTCTGAGGTGGAAGGATCACTTGAATCTGGGAGGTTGAGGCTGCAGTGAACTGTGATAGCAGCACTGAACTCCAGCCTGGGCAACAAAGCAAGCTGTTATCTCAAAAATAAAAAATAGGGAGGTTGAGGCGGGTGGATCACGAGGTCACGAGATCGAGACCATCCTGGCTAACACTGTAAAACCCCGTCTCTACTAAAAATATAAAAAATTAGCCGGGCGTGGTGGCCGGCGCCTGTAGTCCCAGCTACTCGGGAGGCTGAGGCAGGAGAATGGCATGAACCCAGGAGGCAGAGCTTGCAGTGAGCCAAGATCACGCCACTGCACTCCAGCCTGGGCGACAGAGCAAGACTCTGTCTCAAAAATAAAAAAAATAAAATAATAATAATAATAATAAGTGCCTACATGTGTGCAGCAGGAGTTGCAAAGACCTGACCCTGAGGAAAGATGCTACATGCCTGAGTTGAAACTAAATTCAAATTACAGCTCATTGGCTGGGCATGGTGGCTCATGCCTGTAATCCCAGCACTTTGGGAGGCCAAGGTGGGCAGATCACCTGAGGTCAGGAGTTCAAGACTAGCCTGGTCAACATGGTGAAACCTCGTTTCTACTAAAAATACAATACAAAAATTAGCTGGGCACGGTGATGAGCACCTGTAATTCCAGCTACTCGGGAGGCTGAGGCAGGAGAATCACTTGAACCTAGGAGGTGGAGGTTGCAGTGAGCCGAGATGGTGCCACTGTATTCCAGCCTGGGTGACAGAGTGAGACTCCATCTCAAAAAAAAAAAAAAAAAAAAGGAAAAAGAAATTTTAGCTCATCCTTTTCTTCTGTTTATTTTTTGAGATGGAGTCTAGAGTGAGACTCCATCTAAAAAAAAAAAAAAAAAAAAAAAAGGAAAAAAGAAATTACAGCTCATCCTTTTTTCTTCTATTTATTTTTTTGAGATGGAGTCTCACTCTGTCACCCAGGCTGGAGTGCAGTGGCATGATCTTGGCTCACTGCAGCCTCTGCCTTCCAAGTTCAATTGATTCTTCTGCCTTAGGCTCCCGAGTAGCTGGGGTTACAGGTGCCCACCACCACCTCAGGCTAATTTTTGTATTTTTAGTAGAGATGGGGTTTCACCATATTGGCCAGGCTGGTCTGAAACCCCTGACCTCAAGTGATCTGCCCCACTTGGCCTCCCAAAGTGCTGGGGTTACAGGCGTGAGCCACCGCGCCTGGCCAGCTCGTCCATTTTCTGTGTGCCTGGGCCATTCTACCCTCTTTGAGACTCTCTTTTTTCTTTTTTCTTTCTTCTTTTTATTTATTTTTTTTTTTGAGACAGAGTCTCGCGCTGTCGCCCAGGCTGGAGTGGAGTGCAGTGGCCGGATCTCAGCTCACTGCAATCTCCGCCTCCCGGGTTTGCGCCATTCTCCTGCCTCAGTCTCCCGAGTCGCAGGGACTACAGGCGCCCGCCACTTCGCCCGGCTATTTTTTGTATTTTTTAGTAGAGACAGGGTTTCACTGTGTTAGCCAGGATGGTCTCGATCTCCTGACCTCGTGATCCGCCCGTCTCGGCCTCCCAAAGTGCTGGGATTACGGGCTTGAGCCACCGCGCCCGGCCAAGCCTCTCTTTTTTCAACTATAAAGTGAGACATAATGATATTAGCACCTCAAGACTACTGTAAAGGGTCTAAGGAAAGTACTTTGTCTCAGACAGTTACCAGTCAATGCCTTTACCTTTTCCTCCCATTCTCTTAGAGGGCATTTCCCTTTGACCCACTTTTCCAGTAAGACCGCCAATAACTTGCCAGTTTATCCCACTGTGTGGTCTAAACATGTGTATCCATGTCAGAGTTCTTTATTCCTAGCTTGTGAAGGCTGCGTTCTTGGGAGGATTACATGGGAATATCTGGCATACACTAAGGTCTCAGGGAAAAAAACGACACCGCCAGGGTGCAAGAAAGTGCTCAGGCCTTAAAGGTCAGAAGACCTGGGTATGGACCTTGGCTCTGAGATTCAGCAACTCTCCGGCTGTTGTCACGTGACCTCTCTGAACTTCACTTCACTTGGCAAAATGGGGATGGCAGTATTTATGTTACAGGGCTTGTTGGAAGGGTTACAATAAAACCATATGAGTGAAAACATGCCAGGTGCGGTGGCTCAAGTCTGTAATCCCAGCACTTTGGGAGGCCGAGGCGGGCAGATCACTTGAGGTCAGGAGTTCGAGACCAGCCTGGCAAATATGGTAAAACCCCCGTCTCTACTAAAAATACAAAAATTAGCCTGGTATGGTGGTGTGCACCTGTAATCCCAGCCACTCGGAGGCTGAGGCAGGCGAATCGCTTGAACCCAGCAGGTAAAGGTTGCAGTCAGCTGAGATCCCACCACTGCACTCCAGCCTGGGCAACAGAGCAAGAATCTGTCTCAAAAAAAAAAAAAAAAAAAAATTATATGAGTCAAAACATGACTGTGCTCTCCCTTCTTGTCAATCTTTGCATATTCAGAAAAGCAACTGAGCAGTTTACCTGCACCATTTCACCCTGGCCTTACACAGTCCTGTGAGATGTGTGTTCCTACAACCATTCTCAAGGTCAGAGAGCACAGGGAAGATAACTGGCTTGCCCTCAATCTCACAGTGAGGAGCGAGTCAAATTAGGAGCACAGCCAGGCAGCCCGACTTCAAAGTACTTACCCTGACAATTCACAGCTCCAATGCACGATGGCTGTTCGCTGGATTTTTACTGAATGAAGTAATGGGTGGATGTGTCAATGGGTGGATGGGCCCTGAAAGGGCCAGTCTTGAGTCTTGAGTTGGTGTCACTGCATTCTTATATAAGAGCAAGGGAAAGCTCTTTCATCTGGGTCCCAACTGCACCCAAGGGACAGATAATGAGATAAAGGTTTTTAAATTATGAATGGAGTCCGCACATGGTGGCTCATGACTGTAATCCCAGCACTTTGGGAGGCTGAGGCTGGTGGGTCACTTGATATCAGAAATCTGAGACCAGCCTGGGCAACATGGCTTGCCTCTATAAAAAATAGAAAAATTAGCTGGTCGTGGTGGTGGTGGCAAACACCTGTGGTCCCAGCTATTTGGGAGGCTGAAGTGGGAGGATTGCCTTAGCCCAGTGAGTTTGAGCTTGCAGTGAGCCATGATTGCACCACTGCACTCCAGTCTGGGCAACAGAGACCCTGTCTCAAAAACAAGCAAACAAACAAACAAAAAACCACAAAAAACCTAATGGTGGTAATAAATTAAGCATAACAATAGATATCTGTATAAGTTTCCTAGGGCTGCCATAACAAATGCCACAGACTAGATGACTTAAACAACAGAATTTTTTTTTTCTTTCTCACAGTTCCAGGGGCTAGAAGTCTGAGATTAAGGTATCAGGTTTTGGTTGGGCACAGTGGTTCACACCTGTAATCCCAGCACTTTGGGAGGCCTAGACAGGCGGATTGCCCGAGGTCAGGAGTTCAAGACCAGCCTGGCCAACATGGTGAAACCCCATCTTTACTAAACATACCAAATTAGCCAGGCATGGTGGCACGTGCCAGTAATCTCAGCTACTGGGGAGGCTGAGGCAGGAGAATTGCTTGAAGTGGCAAGGCAGAGGTTGCAGTGAGCTGAGATCCCACCACTCCAGCCAGGAGTGTTCGAGACTGCAGTGAGCTATGTATGATTGCACCACTGCACTCCAGCCTGGGCAATGGAGTAAGAATCCGTCTCAAAACAACAAAAACAAACAAACGAAAAAAAAAGGTATCAGGATCTTTGGAAGATCAAGGTAGCAGGTTTGATTTCTTGCTGTGTCTTCATATAATCTTTCTCTGTGTGCACACATCCTTACTGTCTCTTGACTTGTGTAAATTTCCTCCTCTTTTATTTTAAAATTTTATTTATTTATTTAAGAGACAGGTTCTCACTCTGTTGCCCAGGCTGGAGTTCTGTGGTGCAATCATAGCTCACTGCGGTCTAACACCGGGGCTCAAGCGATCCTCCTGCCTCAGCCTCCTGAGTAGCTAGGACTGCAAGCACAAGCCACTGTAACCAATCAAATTTCCTCTTCTTATAAGGAGACCAGTTAAATTGGATCAGGGGCCAACCTAATGGCCTCATTTTAATTTAATCACCTTTTTAACGACTCTATTTCCAAATACAGTCAACATTCTGCCATATGGGGTGTTAGGGCTTCAATGTATGAATTTTACAGAACACAATTCACAATTCAGCCCGTAACAATATCGTTAAGTCACAATGAGTAAGGGAAGACACTTTGGCTGCAGGTAACAGAACATCTGTTGAAACTGCTTTTTAACGACCCTCTCTCCAAATACAGTCACATTTTGCCATATGGGGTGTTAGGGCTTCAATGTATGAATTTTACAGAACACAATTCAGCCCGTAACAATATCATTAAGTCACAATGAGTAAGGGAAGACACTTTGGCTGCAGGTAACAGAACATCTGCTGAAACTCTAAAGATGCTCATTTATTGCAGACATCAAGCCATCAAGAGGTGGCCTGCTGGGTGACTCAGAAGCTCACCTGGTGAGGGCTTCCACACTTCCAGACTCAGAAGGTTGGCTTCTCATCTTTGGCTTGTTCAGTTCTGGTTATGAATGATTGCCGTCACCCTGGAAATTATGGCCTCACATAGAGATATGCAAAAGCAGGAAGATAAGGTAGGGACAGAGGAAGCATTTTCTTTGTAGACCTCTCATTTTATGTTGGAGGGAAACCTTTCCCAGAATCCTCTGAGCAGATTTTCTCTTGTGCCTCATTGGTTGACTCAAACTGTGTCACATGACCACCCCTAACCAATCCCCGGCAAAGAGGAACAGGAACTCTTTAATTGCCTTCGACGAACCTTAATTTAATTTCCTCTGATGAACTTTAATTGCCTCCAATGAACTTTAATTTCCTCTGAGTCACCCCTGGAGTGGCATCATTGCCACCTGCATTTTGTCAAAATTCCATTAGCAAGGAAAAAGGAGGGAATGGCCTGGGGTAGGCAACTGACAGTGTCCGCTGTAGGCAGTGCATGCAACACTTTTTTTTGAGACAGGGTCTCTATTGGTTAGAGCCAATCACAGGGCCGGCAAAAATTCCATGAGGAGGAACCACTCAAGGTTGTGACTATAGGGTCTGGGCTATGTGTCCCTTTGAGGCCATCTTTGGAAACTAGCTACCCCGACAATCACATTTGCATTTGGGTTTCAGTTCTTCCACTTACAAACTAAATGTCTGAACCACGTACTTAAATCTCAGACCCTCAGTTTCCTGATCTCTGAAATGGAAAATGATAACATCTGCCTCACTGAGTGGCTACAAAGTTTAAATTAAACAATGTAAAACTGTGTATGTCACACAGTGCTTAAAATACAGTAGACACTCAGAGCATTCTTTCCCCCTTTCTTTTCTTGGGAAAGACAGAAAAACTGGAATGGCCAGTCAATATAATATGCAAACATACTAATTTTGAGTTACTTGCATGCAGTTGAAAAATAGACTCCAGTACATAGGAACGTTGGAATTTAAGTCTCCTTTAGCCTGGCTGTGAAGTCATGTACACACACAGTGAGTAATAATTAGTTGCCTAGAATAGCTGCTCAACAAGAGGCACAAATAGGAAGTATCATAGGAGTTCTGAGGAAGGAAAGCTTGGTGATGCTGGGGAGGATTAGGAAAGAAGGCTTCCTGGAGGAGGGGGTGCACAGCTGAGCCCTTGAGAGTGGGAAGTATTTGGATGGGGACGGAGGAGGGTGTGGCCTCTCCAGGCAGGAGGACTATTGACCATTTATTGAGAGCTTTGTATATGCCAGACCCTCTTCTAACTCTTTTACACATATGAATCCATGTCCTCCTCACAATAATCCTGCGTTTAGGTGATTTTGCCCCATTTTAAAAATAAGGAAAGTGAGGCACAGAGAAGCTAAGAAACTTGCTCAGTATCCCCGAGCTGGGCTTTGAATCACGGTAGCCTGGCTCCAGAATCTGTACTTGCAGCCATGTTCATCTCCACTACCTGGGGCTGTTAGGTGGTTTAAGGATTGCACTGTGCAGCGTTTCTAAGAATATGACCTTTATACTGCAGGCAATAGCATCCTAGGAGAAGATGTTCAATGAAGCTACTCATGTGACAGTTTGGCTGTGCTGTTCAACACAGTAGCTGCTAAGCACACGTGGCTATTTGCATTTAAATATACGTTAATTGCAATGAAGTTAAATGAAAAAGTGAGTTCCTCATTCACAGTAGCCACATTTCAAGGGCTCTGTGACCCTGTATGGTTGGTGGCTGTTATATTGGACAGTGCCATCACAGAACATTTCCATAATCACAGAAAGTTCTTTTGGCAGTGCTGAGTTACCAGAACTGCTAAGATGGCATTTATAGGTGACCAAGGGAGGCCGAGGCAGTTATGGCTGGATGGAAAGCCAGTTGAGAGGGTGCAATGTCAGGGAAGCCCATGGCTGACAATGGTAAAAATGTAAATTAGTCCATGCATCTTCATTCATCTGTTCCACAAATATGGAACACAGCATGCTTGGCAACAGAGGAAGGTATGGAACATCGTACAAGGCTGGAGGAGCATAGTGGAGAGTGGACATCACAGAAAGACTAATGTTTGCTCCAAGACCTGAAGGATTGCTAGGCATTGGTCATGTGGAAAAGACAAGAAGAGCGTTCCTAGTAGCAGGACCTGCTTGTGCCCAGATTCAAGATATCACATGGGATGGCTGCTACACAAATTGCTCTGGATTGTGGGAGGGAGAGGTGTGTGTGTGTAGGGCTGTGGTGGGAGAGAAGCAAGAAAGGTGAGCGCAGAAGAGAGAGGGAGGGAGGGAACAGGAAACTTTCCAACAGATTGGTGGGAGTGGAGGTGTGAGTTGCTGAGAGGAAACTGGGAAGAAAATTAGAGCATAGAGGGAGAAAGTCCGCACTGCACAGAGGCCTTGGGAAGAAACACAGAGCAAGGAGGTCTACATTGCAAGGAGGTCTGCATTGCATGGAGGCCTTTACCAACAGACCCCTCCTGGCCTTGGTGTTGGGTTGGAGATCTCCTGGCTTCCTCACAAGGCACACATGTTTGCACAAGTTGACAGTGCTGCTTCTGTAGCAATCCAGAGATGGCAGAATTGGATTTGCATCGGGAGGGTAGAAGGCTGGGTGGTGAATCACACACAGTCAGCCCTTGGGAGGCTCTAAGATACTCTCAGAGGAAGTAGAATGCTTTCACCTCCTCCTTTTGGGGAGAAGAAGAACATGAACTTCGGGGCTGGAGAAGGAAGGGAGTTCACGTAGAGTATGCCCCCTTCTCTGCATTTTGCACCCATCGAATCTTCTAATCCTTGCACAGGCACTGTTTGGCAGGAGCCGTTATTATCCCCATCTTATGGACGAAGCAGCAGAAGCTTGGTGAGGTGAGAGATCGTGCGATATGTGGCGAGGGTGGGAGATTTGACCATGGGATCCTCTTCCTTGAGTGATTTTGGGAAGGGGCAGGGAAGAGGTGTCTCTCCTTCCCTGAGGCCACTTGTCCCACCCACAGGATGGGTGGAGCCTATAGAACAGTCATAAGGTTAAGAAATAAAAGCTGAGTTCAAAAAGTTTTTATGCTATTAAAAACACAACAGCCTTATTTTGCAATTCTATATCTCCGGTTACAAAATGATTACCTAAAATTAGTTAATATTAACCTTTTGGAGATAATATTATCATGTTTAAATTACTTTGCAATTATCCAATTAAGTTCGCTTCTAAATGGTGCCTCTAATTAGCCAGGGCGATAAGTTGACTGAGATCTTTGAAATCTTAGGTAGCAGAGTCCATAGTGACAGCCAAAGTCCCCACAAAGGTGGCAGCTGCTGTCCCCACAAAGGGAAAACAGTACGGAGAACCAGACAGCCTCCCTCAGGCTCCTGGAGGAAAAACTTCATTGGGTGCAGCGGCTCACGCCTGTAATCCCAGCACTTTGGGAGGGTGAGACAGGCAGATCACCTGAGGTCAGGAGTTCGAGACCACCCTGGAGAACATGGTGAAACCCTGTATCTACTAAAAATACAAAAATTAGCTGGGTGTGGTGGCGGGCACCTGTAATCCCAGCTACTTGGGAGGCTGAGGCAGGATAATTGCTTGAACCTGGGAGGCAGAGGTTGTAGTGAGCCAAGATCTTGCCATTGCACTCCAGCCTGGGCGACAAGAGCAAAACTCTGTCTCAAACAACAATAACAACAACAAACAACAAAAACAACAATAACAACAAAAAACCTTCGCCACCTAACAAAAGACCACAAATTATGCCATCAATATTTAAGAAGATTCATTAATTGTGCAATTCTACAGAGCAGTTAACACTAGTGTCATGTGGAGTATTAAAGACAGAAAACTGGAGAATCTTATCTCCTGACCTCAATGAGTTCAAAGTCTAACAAGGAAGATAAGAAGGCAAATAACAATTATAAGTGCTATAACTTATATAACACTAATATCCCATGCGTAGGAGGAAGAATTGATAAGATTGAAATACAGAAGGCATTGCTGATAAATAAATAAATACATAAAAATAAGTTATCCTGATGTGTGAGCTGGAAAACCAAAATTTCCACCATGTATGTAATTCGGGTTCAATCAAGGATGCTTGACAAAAATTCAATTTAAAAAATAACTATCGAGGCTGGGTGCAGTCACTCACAGCTTTAATCCCAGCACTCTGTGAGACTGAGACAAGAGAATTGCTTGAGCCCAGGAGTTCAAGATCAGCCTGAGCAATATAGCAAGACCTCTATTTCTACAAAAACTTAAAAAAATATGTATTGGCTGGGGCTGGCTGGGCGTGGTGGCTCACACCTGTAATCCCAGCACTTTGGGAGGCCGAGGCAGGCAGATCATGAGGTCAGGAGATTGAGAACATCCTGGCTAACATGGTGAAACTCTATCTCTACTAAAACTACACAAAATTAGCCGGGTGTGGTGGCGGGCACCTGTAGTCCCAGCTACTTAGGAGATTGAGGCAGGAGAATGGCATGAACCCGGGAGGCGGAGCTTGCAGTGAACTGAGATCACACCACTGCACTCCAGCCTGGGCAACAGAGTGACTCCGTCTCAAAAAAAATAAGAAAAAAAAAAATTAGCTGGGTCTGGTGTGGTGGCTCATGCCTGTAGTCCCAGCACTTTGGGAGGCAGAAGTGGACAGATCACTTGAGGCCAGGAGTTTGAGACCAGCCTGGCCAACATGGTGAAACCCCGCCTCTTTAAAAAATGCAAAAATTAACCAGGCATGGTAGTACGTACCTATAGTCCCAGCTACTTGGGAGACTAAGTCAGAGAATTGCTTGAACCTGGGAGGTGGAGGATGCAGTCAGACAAGATCATGCCATTGCACTCCAGCCTGGGCAACAGAGTGAGACTGTCTCAAAAAAAAAAAAAAAAAATTAGCTGGGTATGGCGACACATGCCTATAGTCCCTGCTACTTGGGAGGCGGAGGTGGGAGGATTGTTTGAGCCCAGGAGTTTGAGGCTGCAGTGAGCTGTGATCACACCACTGCACTCCACGTTTGCTCTGGGCAACAGAGCAAAACCCTATCTCAAAACGAAACAAAACAAAACAGAAAACCGAACTGTCAGGTCCTGATATTTCTACCTCCTAAATAATCTTTCAGATTGGTCCACTCTCCTCCAGCCACCAGCCACCAGCCACTGTCATTATTTTTAACCTCCGGGAACAGGCCTGTGAGGCCTCCCTACCTCCAGTCTCCTCCAATCCACCTTTGCTGCTACTAGGTGACCTGGCTAAAATTGGAACCTGATCATGTCATTTTCCTGTTGAAATCCAGATTAGCATAGTGCCTTTCACAGAATAGATGTTTAACAAATATTTATGGAATGAATAAGTGAACAAATGCATGGCATGTGGCCTCATTGTGCTACACAGGCAGGGCATTCATGTGCTAGGGCTGCCATAACAAAGTACTGCTGGGTCCTGGGTCCTCTGAGGTTTCGAGGGGAGGATCCTTCCTTGCCTCTTCCAGTTTCTTGTGGCTGCCACTCTTGACTTGGAGCCATGTCCCTTGACTCGCTTATCACTCCAACCTTTGTCTCCATCTTCACATAACATCCCCTACTGCCCCCTGTTCTCTGTGTCCAGATTTTCCTCTTCCTGTAAGGACACCAGACTGCATTAGGGCCCACCCTAATGAACTCATCTTAACTTTGTTGTTTCTGCAAAGACCCTATTTCCAAATGAAGTCACATTCAAAGGTACCAGGGATTAGGACTTTAATGTGTCTTTCTGAGATTAATGTTAAACCAATTGTCATCAAGCAACATACTTTTAAAATGGGAACAGAAAAGGCTAGAAGTGAATTTATTTTTACAGCCAAGTTCTTATCATTTCTCTTGTACTCTCTATGATTTGCTTTTTTTTAAAGCTTGCTGTCACCTTTAAATGGTACTAAAATGGAAGTACATTAAACTGCTATTAGGGCACAGAAGACGTGGCAATTAACTGCAGTAAGACACGAGAAGCCTTCAGAGAATCCTACTTCTCACACCCAAGCTGGAGGGCAGTGGCATGATCACAGCACACTGCAGCCTCAAACTCCTGGACTCAAGTGACCCTTCCGCCTCAGCCTCCTGAGTAGCTGGGACTACAGGCATGTGCCACCACACCGAGCTAATTTCAAAAAATTTATTTTTTAGAGACGGGAGTCTCACTGTGTTGCCCAGGCTGGTTTCAAACTCCTGGGCTCAAGCGATCCTCCCAGCACTGGGATTCCAGGGGTGAGGCACCACACCTGGCCCTTCTCTTGATTTTTCAAAACATGTGTGTAGATGAACCCTACAGGTTAGCTCACGTATATTTCTTCATTTATTTTAATTTTTAATTTTTGTGGGCACATAGTAGGTGTGTATATTTGTGGGGTACATGAGATGTTTTGATAGGGCATGCAATGTGAAATAAGTACATCATAGTGAATGGTGTATCCATCCCAAGCATTTACCATGTGAATTACAAACAATCCGATTATACCCTTTTATTTTAAGATGTCCAGTTAAGTCATTTCATGTATGTTAGTTGGTTGCTTTCATAGGGTGGCTGAAATAACTTAACTGTATATCTTAAAATAAAAGGGTATAATCGGATTGTTTGTAATTGCATGCCCTATCAAAACCTCACACATGTGATCACCGCAGTGTGCTGTGATCATGCCACTGCCCTCCAGCTTGGATGTGAGTGTGAGAACCCATCTCTACAAAAATAAAAACAAGATAACATTTATTTAAAAGTAATAAAAATAAATCAATAAATAATCAAGAGTTCATCATTCCAACGACTGAGGTTGTTATCAGTTGCTCAAAGATGGTCTCCAAGTACAGAATTGAAGCCATCAGGACATGAGCCAGGACCCCAGGACCCCACTTGGCTGTGCGAGGGTACGTCCTAGGATTTCATCTACCAGTCTTAGTCTTCAGGAGGGATCGGTCACATGAGCAATGGAAAGATAATTACTTTGGTTTAAATAGGGCATTGAGTCTACAACAAGAATCATGAAGACATTCACCCCTGTGGTCCAGGTGCCCTCATCCTGGAAATATATCTGTCTAGGCCTGGGTTCCCCCAGAAGTAGGATTCAAGCACAAGAAGTTTATTTGGGAGGTTGTAATGGTTAATTTTACATGTCAACTTGACTGGGCTAAGGGATTCTCCAGAGAGCTGGTAAAACAGTATGTCTGGATGTGTCTGTGAGGAAGTTTCCAGAAAAGATTGGCATTTGGATCAGTGGACTGAGAAAGGCAGACCCACCCTCCCCAATGTGGGTGGGCATCATGGAACAAAAAATGAGCTGGGACATCTGTTTCTCCTGCCTTCGGACATCAGAGCTCCTGGTTCCTGGGCCTTGAGACTTGGAGGGGGAGTTAGATCAGTGGCTTTTCCGGTTCTCCAGGTTGCAGACAGCAGATTGTGGGATCATAATCACGTGAGCCAATTCCCATCATAAATCTCCTCATGTATCTATCATCTATCTATCTATCTATCTATCTATCTATCTATCTATCTATCTCTATGCCTATCTATCTATCATCTATCTACCTTTTTAATTTCTTTTTGTTGTTTATTGTTTTAATTTTTTCTTTTATTACTATATCTATGATCTATCTTTTTTCTTTTTGTTGTTGTTATTATTGTTGTTTTTAATTAATTAATTAATTTTTTGAGACAGAGTCTCATCTGTCACTCAGGCTGGAGTGCAATGGTGCGATCTTGGCTCACTGCAGTGAAGGGGTGGCCTGCCCCTCCACACCTGTGGGCGTTTATCATCAGGTGGAACGAGAGACTTGAGAAAAGAAATGAGACACAGAGACAAAGTATAGAGAAAGAAAAAGTGGGCCCAGGGGACCGGCGCTCAGCATACAGAGGACCCACGCCCTACGGGTCTCTGAGTTCCCTCAGTATTTATTGATCATTATCTTTACCATCTTAGAAAAAGGGAACTGGCAGGATAACAGGATCATCATAGGGAGAAGGTCAGCAGTAACACATGTGAATAAAGATCTCTGTGACATAAGTTTAAGGAAAAGTGCTGTGCCTTGATATGCGTATGCAAACATCTCCATAAACCTTTTTAGTGCATAAAGAACATCTTGCGCTAGCAAGTCCCACCTTCAGCCCTAAGTCGGTTTTCTCCTTTCTCAGTAAACAGAACATACAATCGGGTTTGCCCAGGGACGGGCAGGAGACAGATGCTTTTCTCTATCTCAACTGCCAAAAGGCCTTCTTTCTCTTATACTAATCCTCCTCAGCACAGACCCTTCACGGGTGTCAGGCTGGGGGACAATCGGGTCTTTCCCTTCCCACGAGGCCATATTTCAGACTATCACATGGGGAGAAACGTTGGACAATACCTAGCTCTCCTAGGCAGAGGTCCCTGTGACCTTTGGCAGTATACCTGTCCCTGGGTACTTGAGATTAAAAGAATGGTGATGACTTTTAACCAGCATACCGCCTTCAGGCAC